AAACAGGTTTTTTACCGTTGACCCAGCAAACACCCGGCGGGGACATAGTAAGAAAATCTTCAAGCTCAGGGCACACACATCCGTTAGACAAAACTTTTTTTCATTTCGGGTAGTAGCTGCGTGGAATGAACTTCCTCCGACAGTTGTACACGCTCCTTCTAGAACCCAATTTAAAGCACTATTAGACATTTATTTATGCGAATCCTCGCGCTGGCGAGCATACTGCCCCGCGCTGAGAACATAAAGAGCAGTGCTACACCCTTTTTTCACTTGTGCCTTTCAGGTGAACGACAGCCACTGACCGACAAGAACAAAACCGACCCGGGAAACTTGGGCAAAAGCCTCGATCCTGTGTATCAATCCGTGAATCCGTGAGACAGCTATTTTCTAAACATGACTTCCTTATTAGGCGCAGTTGCATATTCATTTGATTCAAACAACCAGGTTCAAGAGTCCTAATCTTACAAGTTGATCGTATTAAATCAAACATGCCAAATAAAATCTACTTATATTTCATTGTGCAAACTCCAAATGCCCTAAGTCGGTATTGCCTAACCGGCAAATTTACTTGACACTTCCCTTCCCTTATTCCTCTACGTGTCATGCTTTTCCTTGTGTTCAATATCGATGGACTATTTCCATTCACGCAGAGAAAAAAGAATTCATGAGTCATACCTAGGTAACCTTTCTACCCACCAACGAGGGTCACCGTATTACAAGTCACCGGAGCAAGATTATAGTGTTTGCCATCACCCCTCGAATACTCACAGAAAAATAGCGTGGCGGTGAAATTGAAGTGAAAATGTTTATAATCTGTGAGTTATGAACAACTAGCTGTCCACAGAACATTCTGCTGAGGCAGTAATCTCTGCGTCGAGTGATTGAGGTAAGCGGCTTGGGAGGCAAATGGCGGTGCAAGCATGCCGACTTTGGTTTTTATGGACTTGGTCCTATGTTATCATATATGGACTGCCACTGGTGCCCGGCTCTCGGAAACCCAACTACGTACATTGTTACGATATTGAACCTTGCTAATGGCGTTGGGACCATCTGCTGTATTATCCAAAAGGTGAATACGTATATGGATCGTTGTTGCTTTCGCCTAGTTGGCGGCTGACAGCCACGTGATCCAATTGTGTACACGGCTGATTTGCACGTAGGGGCCTCGAGATTCCTCAAATATGCGTTTACGTTGAAAAGCCGTGGGGCCAAGAACGACTGCTGGTCCGCGTGCGGCTGGAGCAGTCACCTTCCGTTGTATGTGTGGTCAAAGCGCCTCCGAAACGAATACTCAGACGTAATTTCAAAGAGATCAGAAAACTGACCTGAGCACTTATTTCACCAACACGGATGACAACGTCAGTGCTCCATGTTTGACTGGAGCTGGGATACATCACAGTAGAAGGTATTCCCATCGTCAGAAAAACATGTCACTGGGGCATAAGCTGAAGCTTCAAGTACGAATCGCTTTTCATGTTGGATGGCATTGAGCAGAATAACCAAATCACGTAAAGACGAGTGTTCACCGGGATTCACCACAGCAAAGCGTTTCGTCCCCTGACCTGAGTATCGTTCACATGCCATATGTTCCAGGACTCATCGCTTCTTGATGACCAGACACGGAGTGTAAATTTTGGGTTAGCTGAGTTCTTCTAGAGAGCTTCAGGATGCATGAAGACGCTCTTGTGTGCGTGTTGCAAAGGCAGCATATGCCAACCTTAAGTGGGTATGACGTCTTGGCAAGCGTTGCATGTGCGCCAGTTTTTAGTGGGATACAGACAACAGACGCTCCTACGTAGCAGAAATCATGGTGAAAAACAGATTTGCGGATGAGTGACACTTTCTGTTTGCCCGAACCAAGGAGGGGGTTTAGTTTATGTTGCCCGCCGAAAACCTGTGACAGGGTTCAGAAATTCACTCAAGAGGGACCTTTATGGGCCTCTGACTTGAAAGTCGGACTTGAGGCAAAAACTACTTGATCAAAGCATCGAGGTGACAGGTTTAGATTGGGCGTGGGTATTGCTGATGTACAGAAAATATCGAGCCTAGAAGATTTGCCCAGATATTTCCTGAAGGCAATAGAACGCATCATGTATGCATCTACGTTACAACGCCATTAAAACTCGTCATGTTTGTAAAACTTTGACAGCAATGTCATGAACAATCCCTAACAAATTCGGTTTCAGGAAGTGTAGTGTTACCCGATGAGCCCTCTTTATACCTTGGGGTTTGCCGTTCGGTGAACATCAGTAGAATAGCCATTCGTGATTAGTGAGGTAAGAGTTTTTGTTGAAAATGGCCAAGTAGATGCATGGCAATGCCAGGATACTGCCACAGACTGCCCAGTTTCATAGGCACGTGAGTAATAGAATCACTTTCGCCATCGGCCATACCCACGTTATACAGTCCTTTTCAAATGAAATGACAGAACATTTTTCGCTTCTGGTCATTACGGGGCTCAAAAACTACATTAAAGGCAACACACCTCCTGCTACACTTCATTCGTTTACGTAAGCAGGGCGCTTTTGTAGAAACAACTCACTGTTCCACTATATGACATTAATCAGGTGACCATCGTGACGACGATTGCAAACACCCGTAAGTACTATCCAATTAAGGGATCCATTTTGCAACCAGTAATTGTTTTTTACAGTCTATGTTCCACTATTGTTGGCTTTCGAAGTTACCTTATTGGCCTCTTGCATAAGCTGTGTTTTAACGGCAAATCTGCAAACCGTCCGTGTAATCGTTGAAAGTGGTTAGCCTGGACACACTAAACAGTAGTAGACCATGGGAAAACAGTTTGCTCCCCGGGTTGAGTTGATCATTGGTTGCAGTTTAAACCGTAATATTGGGGTTAGGATCAGCTTTTGATCAACAAGTAACGGGGAAAATTAATGCCTTGGAGGGCGGAAGAGTTCACTGGATGTTTGTGTAGACATGGCACCGCCAAGCAATGACTATCCAAAATGCCTTTAGGAAACCAGAATGGTGTTGGCATGTCCTCTGTTCTTGACAGATGAGGCAACTGCGGGCGCGTAGGTGACAGCGGAACCATACAGTTGACCTCCCCGAGGATATTGCATTCTCGCTGTTTGTTGGTAGTACGCGGATGTGCGCACGTGAACGTCTGCGACAGAGCCATATGAACTTCTGATCCCATACATTGCAATGCTCTCTCTTAATCAGGTAGATTCTGTGGTAGCTGCGAACGACGGAGAGCATGCATTCATAGAAAAATTGTAAACCAGAATTTGCGGGATTTATTTCACAAATTTACATTTTTTCCTTCTTCAGAGGTACTGAAGATATCAGAACAATTGTACTACTGTATATGTATGCACGTATGTCGTTGCACGTTCAACTCTAACGCCATATTTTTCGCAGTAGCAAGGGAATTTATCAAGGCTATGGCCGATTTTTCTTTGCTAGGCCTAACTATTTTGGCTGACCAAAGAAAAACAGGATGTCTTAGTTGGTCGCACTTCTGTCTGCATTTTGCTTTGAACTGTTTCATTATCCGCGTTCTGCGCCTTTTCCAACATTATCGCTGTATTTTTTTAACAATTTAATTTCAGAGGTGTTTGCAAGTGCCTAAGAACTCCCGAATTTATCTTGGTCTTGAGTTCTGCTCTGTAGTCTTACTTGTGTCCAAGAGAAAATAGACTTCTTTTACATTACAACCGCTTGCTCCGTTATCGGACACATTAATGCAACAAACGTTTCAGTTAATTCAGTGTTGCAGGATGAAGATGAGAAGCATTCTTATCCAAGCTTTAATCGAAGTCATAAGCAGAGAAAATCAAACTGAAGTTTGCATCAGTGAACTCTGGGTTGTGGTTATTTTTATTTCCGTTTCTTCTTATTACTACTCACTATGATTATGCTGGGTTTCATGAACAACACCGTGATTATTCACCAGACGTATTTGTCGGGATCATTTATCGACCCTAATCCTTTGTTGATAATGACTCCCAATGGAGAGTACTGATTTCGACAAAAGAAACTAACGTCCAGAGCTAACGACGAAAGACCTCAATAACTCTAAAATAATTCGTTGCTCCTATAGACAACGCAAATTATTCAGAAGCACTAATAACCATCTTAGAAGCCGAATCATTACATGATTTTTTGCGCAGCAGTTCGCTATGGAGCACTGCGAAGAGCTTTAGCTTAGAAAAGGTTATTCTGGAAAATCGAGCAGTGCACTGATTTTGGTGAGTGAACTGATTTTCGTTAATTAGATGGACATATAAGTGAACATACCCGTAGGCCATTTGGCCAGAAGCCCTGAACAAAATAACATTGTTTCTGCTTGTTGTTTCTCGTTAATGGTACTCTTAAACTAAATCTGCTACACAAAGACCGTCTTAAGTTACATTTGGGACGATATTCGAGATACCACTGGGTACTTTTTTAAACGTAACACACCAAATGGGTCCTTAGAATAGCAAACTCATTAGTAATGTTTTGGGTTGACTAAATATGCTGAGGTATTACGAAGTGCCTGCCAGTTGAAACACGAGGTGGGCTTTGTGCAGCACATCATATGTAAGACATTCCGTTGAGTCTCTTGTTCACACTAATGTAATTTACGAGCAATTGTCTTACTATTCACCTAGCTTTCCGTGTTCAAATGAAACAAGATTATTGGAGACTCTGGTGAACCACAAGAAAGGAAAGACTTTGTCTCGGGTTTTTCGAAGGTTTCAGCTCATTTATAAATAGTTTACTAATGTAGCAACGTTTTGATTCTTTCTTATTGCCCACCTTGATTTCTCGTTTAGTTTTAAGAGCTAACTTTTAACCCGTTGTGTTTTGATATTCCTCAAAGTACTCTTTAGGTATGACCCTAGCACTTTTGAACAAAACTCCAAAATCCTTTCGCCCCTTTTAAATTTTATGTATCTTGTTCCTCGTCTTAGAAAGCATGCTCCCGTACCGTCCGCGTCTACCCATGAAAGCGTTAGGAGTGATAGAAAACAGGATGGAAGAAAGTTTCATTTGAAAACCTACGTAGTACCATTCAAAACAAATTTGACAGTATATGCTACATAGAAACGACAGAGTATCGGAAATGTCAAGTGCTCCTGATTCTGTCAGGCATTTTCCATTGTGCTATTGCCTTGAATTCACAGAATTTTGGTGTTTCAGTGATATGTAAACGGAATCATTATTCGTTTACTATCCTCGTCGGTTTCTTTTCATTTCGGCGGTACACTAGAAAATCGATTGTCGAAATACCCATCCCGATGCCATCGACCGAACGACTGAGACACACCAAGGAACGCAAATTCTCGATTCAAACCTTGAATGAATTGTTTTCGTTCCAAATATTTCAGTGCCGCATTCTTCAAACGCATTGCTTCGTCCAAATGAAGTTGTTCGATTTGGGTGTTCAGCTGAAACAAAACGCACCGTACTTAATGGGAACAAATTTATACAAACAAACCTCCTTCAATCTTGTGTTGCGTTCATCCATTTGTGTACGATACTCCTGTTCGGATTTTGAATAATTTTGTCGCAGCTTTTCGAACACTTTCTCCCATTCTTCCCTGAAACAAGGGTGAGACATTCAGTTGCATGTTGACTACTTACTGAGATGCACCTTTTCTGATTTGGTCAAACGAAAAAATAAAGTCTGAGATCTGTCCATGTAAATGAGTATTCCGGCCACTCAGATGATGGACTTATCAAATCGTCATTTTTTTAAAACGGACAAAGTTTCAAAGTCGAGTACCAAAACTTAACAACAACGGAGCGAATTTGCAGCGACCACATTTACCTGGTGAACCACAAGAAAGGAAAGACTTTGTCTCGGGTTTTTCGAAGGTTTCAGCTCATTTATAAATAGTTTACTAATGTAGCAACGTTTTGATTCTTTCTTATTGCCCACCTTGATTTCTCGTTTAGTTTTAAGAGCTAACTTTTAACCCGTTGTGTTTTGATATTCCTCAAAGTACTCTTTAGGTATGACCCTAGCACTTTTGAACAAAACTCCAAAATCCTTTCGCCCCTTTTAAATTTTATGTATCTTGTTCCTCGTCTTAGAAAGCATGCTCCCGTACCGTCCGCGTCTACCCATGAAAGCGTTAGGAGTGATAGAAAACAGGATGGAAGAAAGTTTCATTTGAAAACCTACGTAGTACCATTCAAAACAAATTTGACAGTATATGCTACATAGAAACGACAGAGTATCGGAAATGTCAAGTGCTCCTGATTCTGTCAGGCATTTTCCATTGTGCTATTGCCTTGAATTCACAGAATTTTGGTGTTTCAGTGATATGTAAACGGAATCATTATTCGTTTACTATCCTCGTCGGTTTCTTTTCATTTCGGCGGTACACTAGAAAATCGATTGTCGAAATACCCATCCCGATGCCATCGACCGAACGACTGAGACACACCAAGGAACGCAAATTCTCGATTCAAACCTTGAATGAATTGTTTTCGTTCCAAATATTTCAGTGCCGCATTCTTCAAACGCATTGCTTCGTCCAAATGAAGTTGTTCGATTTGGGTGTTCAGCTGAAACAAAACGCACCGTACTTAATGGGAACAAATTTATACAAACAAACCTCCTTCAATCTTGTGTTGCGTTCATCCATTTGTGTACGATACTCCTGTTCGGATTTTGAATAATTTTGTCGCAGCTTTTCGAACACTTTCTCCCATTCTTCCCTGAAACAAGGGTGAGACATTCAGTTGCATGTTGACTACTTACTGAGATGCACCTTTTCTGATTTGGTCAAACGAAAAAATAAAGTCTGAGATCTGTCCATGTAAATGAGTATTCCGGCCACTCAGATGATGGACTTATCAAATCGTCATTTTTTTAAAACGGACAAAGTTTCAAAGTCGAGTACCAAAACTTAACAACAACGAAGCGAATTTGCAGCAAGTAGTGTGATCTAACTAGCGAAAAACACTCATTTGAAAACAAATTTGGTTTTGCAAGAGAATCAGTTGGAACTCGGCTGAATCTATCGTTTATGATGTTTCCAGCAACCTTATAATTAGTGCATTACGTGTAGTCTAATCCAAATCCAGAGATTTCGTCGAAAACTCAGCATAATCACTGTTCTGACATGTTTTATCATGGATTTCTTTATGCAAGACTACACGCAAGGTTTCCCAGAGTGACCATGCAAAGCATTCTTCTGGATGTCGTATGAACTTACAAGATCGCATTATGTGCAAGCTCCAGATAGAGTGTTTATCTAAGTTCCGCAAAAAAATACGTGGAAAAGCGCCACTAGACAAAACGATGGAAAGTAGTATCCGAACCAAAAGTAAGGGTAACTAAAAGTACAAAATTTGGCGCATGCCAGATCACAGCAGATCTTCACTGAAGAGCAGTGTACAGTAAGCTACCAGATACTGCTTTCAAAATTCTGAGAGAAGGTGTTTAACACCTACACCCATTTGGCAGTGTATTAAGGTTGGCGCGAAGTAATTTTGGTGAATGGTGTGTGCGTTTATTCTCACTGATCAATCGCTCTACATATCCTTTTGGCCCAACCACTGAATGCGATGTTTTTTTTATTTTGTACTTCGAAACGTGGCACCAAGTTTCACAAGATAATGACAACTTCCTCACAGACAGTCCAAATGTTCACAAATTTAATACAGCATGTTGATCAGAAGAAGTACCCTGTGGTGACTTTGGATTGTTAACTTAATTGTTTACACGTTCAGTTCCCACTCTGCGTTGAACAAACGACACATTCGCACTTGCATTCGTTGACGATACCTATGCTCACAAGTGAAAAATCTACCATCCGAAGGGTAATATTTTATGGTACATACATTTCGGAATTGGTCATCGTTATTATTGTAACGAACCTGTGATGTGTTTGACACGTCTATGAACAAAAAGTGCCTCAGATTCTCTTCAATAAAGGGTTAGAAAGAAAAACTATTTAAACCGAAAATTTTGTGGAAGTAACAAATTACCTAACTTTGAAAACTGATGATATCACCTAGCATAATCGTTTTCGTCTCTGATCGGCGGCCTTGGTCTACAAGACACACGTTTCAGTGGTCAAAATATTTGCACTGTTCTACGGGACTTTCCTCTTTCCCGTCAATTAGCGGGTGGGATGTTTTACAATGGTTTGGATGGTTCATGGTCAAAAGCAAGCACGATAACTCACCCTGGATGGCTCTTAAAAAAGATGCGCCTGCAGTGAAGAACCCATAGTTGCAATCCTTCACTGTAATTCTTCCGAGAATTACTTCTGTGCAACGAAGACTGCATTATTTAGTTTCTCAAATAATCTAGAAGATAAGGCAACCGAAGTGTTTAGTATCGCTTACGGATATTCATCCAGTGACCACGTTAAACTGCGCGTGTAATGAAGACAGCGGATTTACTATCCCTCGACATCGGTGGACTGTCCTTGACTGAACTTGGTCTGACTCGACTTTGGCAAAGATTTAACCTTGGGTGCACACAGAGCCGTTTGCTGAGAGATTTCACGGATAACTTACAAATAAAGAGCGTGTGCTCAAATCTTGTAGTGATGCTCGTTTGCATAATCTAGGGTACTGCGAATAAAAATCATTTCTCAGTAATCTTATGGCCAGCGTGTTTAGTAAGGAAAATAGTTATGCTTTTAAAGTCATAACCAGAACAGTCCTTTCCATATGGGATATACAAATGGTCAACATGCCGTCATACCAACTTCATGAATATCAGAGATGATTATCTGTCAACATATTTTGAATATTCGAGATTTATTGCACAAAAGTCATTTGCCGGAATACACAGCTCTAAATGACTGTTTTTCTTATTTTCCTTCACGGTTTATCATTTGGCGATTGAACTAAAAACGGTCCCAAAATTGAGCATTCCTTGACACCACTGTGTATTTAGTTTTCCACGAATTCGAGATCTTTCAACAAAATCAGCTTTCGCCAAATTGTTGGAGAACTTTTCCTCTACCCAAGGGTGAATCCAACAGTGACAGCTGACTGCAATCTGTTTATTCCATGGGCAATATTGAGCAAAGTGATATTGAAATAATGCATGTTTACAGGCTTACTTTAAGACCTTCTCCTCCTCAAGTCTCTGCTGCAGTTGCTTGCTGACTTTTCGTAATTCATCTCTGTCGCCTTGTATTGCTTCTTTTAACTGGGCTTGGTGCTTGAGCAACGGGTGCGTGTCTGGAGGTTGCACAGGCGATGAGCACCTTGATGCGGTCTCTACAGTGGCTAGACCGCTAGTTCTCAGCTGCAGTTCAATTTGCTTTATCCTGTCACAAGAGGGTTGGGTTATTATTGATTCTATATCTTTGCGTCGTCGACCAAGCCATATTTTGTCGTCCTTTGTGAGAGGTTGACCAAGCAGTGATGCCTTTGGACCAGCTTTCTCTAATTTGATCTGATTACGAAGAAGGCCAGATGGTCCCCCACCGAATACCGCATAGACAAAACCCTCTGTTGCCTCAATTGCCTGCAACTATGAGGAAAATGTAAGAAAAATTACCAAGTGTATTATACATTCTACACTTTATTTTGCATGTACATGCGTGTGCATAGTGAAGACTGTAGGTGTGTTGTACGTCAAAATGTCCAGAATCGTTTCAACTATCTCATGATTCACAGATTTGCGATATTCTTTGGTGAACCATCTGCTAAATTCATCCAAAATTATTAACAGGGGTTCCTTAGCATGTGGGACTTTTACAAGACTTTCAAAGTTGGAAAAAGTAGTCACTGTTAAATTAGTTGTTGCTTCTGTGTGTGGCTTTCTAGGGAGTGAACATTATAACCTTTTCACACGTCTTTGAATACTATTTCGCTTCATTTATAGGGTTTAACCGTGGAAGGCTTTCCTGTTCCACCAGATTCCCAAATGTTATGTCTAGGCTTGGGCGACCTGGCAGTATCCCAGCCCTCGTGCCTCCTTGGTGTGGCATGGGAGCTAGGCACCGAAAGGGTGCTACAGCTGAAAGCTTATTTTATTTTTTTATTTACTTATTCCAACAAACCGAGAAAGACAAAGGATGTTCATTTCTGTATGCAAAAGATAAGCAGAATCGTGAATAGAATATAATTTTCACTGTAGACAGTTGAATACTGGGTGTCACTGGCATCCTTTTGCAAGGCGCTTATTTACACACGGATGAGCCTAGGCCAGTCAACAAGCAAAGACTCAAATAAACGAACAGCGTCAGATCATGGTTTACGAGATTCAGAGATATGTGACCAGATGCACGGTGGAGTAATGAATTAGCTGGAGTTAAGATGAGAATTAGAATCATTAAGTTTGACTGACGTGTTTTGAGTTTGTTTCACTTTCGTTGTGAGCAAGCCTTTCTCTCATCCCTGACATGAGGCTTATGGCGCTAATGTGCTTTTACAGATTGGCCGCATTTTCCGGATAAGAATCTGTCAAACATCCTCTCACAGCAAGTTCAATGTGAACTCGCTAAGGAAGCATATAGCGATCGCCTGACAGAGTATGAAGATTACAAACCAGATGGCACCTGCTAATTGTCCTACTCATAGTCAGCAACGACCGTCAATTATACGTCGCAGTATTTCATCCTGTGAATCCAGTGAGCACTGCAAGGCTCTTCAGTCTGGATTGGAGGATCATCGGTGGTGCAGATCTCAAGAATAACGACATCCCGTTTATTTCTTCACCACCACGATCAAGTCACCAGTGGCGGGTCAGCAGCAGTCCTCCTAATAGGGTCAGAACTGTTAGTGCTCTGGTTGTGAAGTAGTTAGGTTGATTATCAGAAGCTGACAAGCACTAACAAATGTCTGTTTTACCATAATGATGATGATCACATTGGTTAGGTGCATCTTGGTAAATATAGATACAATGCGAAAAATGGAATAAGCCAAAAAGTGACTTGTCCTTTGAGGCATCTCTTGAGAGTTCCTGGGTGAAGTTCCGGACGCGGGACATGTCTTCTCTTCAGCATAGCTGCTACACGTGATACACAGTTAGCGTACGTGTGTGTTTGTGTGTGTATTTATTTGTATGCCTATTTATTGAGTGCATTGTATGTGTCTATTTATAGTTGCGCCAATTTGTATGCCTATTTATTGAGTGCATTGTGAAGAGAGAGGTGTCCCTTCGTGTTTGCTACTTGCTCGAACATGAATACCAGCGCGTGGTGCTGGTGGTAGCCGCGTAAACAAAGATGGATGGGAAGTTGTAGTGCTGTCGGCTAGGGTTGTAAGTGAGACGGGAATTGTCACGTGGTTTAAGTGCATGTGACTCGTGAGTACCGCAACAGAATACACTAACAAATTATGAACGGGCCGAACAGAACGGCAGTTAAAATCACTCACAAAAAAAAACACTGGAATGCAACCCACATTGCAGACGGGCCGATAAAATTACGAGGGAGCAACCTTTTGATTGGCCATTTACATCATGAGACACGCTTGAAAACTGCTATGATGCATTCAGCGCGAAATGTGAATGTACAGATAACGGGGCGTCGCCAGGGTCATAATCGGAGCGGAGCTAAACAAACATGACATAGCAACAAGAAACCAGCGAAGACGTGAAAATGGTCAAGGCAGGAATGTCACCAGGATCATCACCGAACAGTAGGTGGCCACAGTTGTCCAATCAACCATTCTATACGGTTACGCATCAGCTCTGTATGTTTGACCGACCGTGTTTCTGGTCGTCTATCATTCCCTTATTGCGCAGTCTGTCAGACCCACTCCAGACGTAACCGATGGGCGTTCTCATGTTATAAAGGCAAGCGGCCAAGAAGGAAATATCCACCCAACCATGGAGTGAAATATTTCCCTAAATGGCGGCGGAGCGTTTTGCAGCTAATATACAAGCCCATTTAACCAACACGCGGCTTCTTAACCTTGCGACGAGACCGGATGTAGGAACATCGCCTCACACTCTGGGTAGACATAAGAGTGGTGAAAGTTTACTTAATGGAAATCTGGTCACCTTAAGTAAACAACACAGCGCTGTGGTTATATGAGCATAGTATCATCATAACCCTTAGGCTAATACGTCTGTATTGGGAGTGCCTCCTTTTCTGCTTAATTTTAAAAGTTAAAATTCACCGGCGGTGATGAAACAATTGGTAGCCGATCAAAACCGAGAATAAAAACTGTCAGCTCTTGTTAGAGCTCCGAAGGCTCTGAGGTTTAAGTAAGAAAAGGTAGGATGTTGCGGTTTCAACCCAACTACCACAGCAACGCGGTTGCTGAGTACTCGCATATATCACCTGGAGTCAGCGTTCCAATTAACCTCAAACTGTGATACATGTCTGCGTGGTATCTTTTGGCGTCGTTCCATAAAATTTATCTCTACTATGATTTTGCCGGTTTTACAGCTTGTGTGACGACGAAACTCACCGATCGCTCCGAACGATCACCATTTCTTAACTCCCGGCTTTCTGAGTAAATAAATGTGTATGGTTGTACCTCGTTGTGCAAGCAACTGGGACGTGCAAAAAATTTTAATGAACATCAACCAGGGAAATTTCATCTCTGTTATTAATTACCGCAAGTTAGCCCTTTCCTGGTACAGGAAGCTGACTACGAAGACCGTTGAATGACTTCTTGACGAGCAGTGTCTGTAGACAACTCATAACTCACCCGTAGGCGCATTGCGCTCACTTCCCTTCTCCACCGTTCGTGTTTCTTTTGAAGCATGTCTTGATATACCATAATCCAGCACTGGTTTGCTTTCAACCACTGTTCGCGGAGCTTGATTCTTCGCTGAATCTCTCGTGCACTGTTTCCCACTTCCTGTCAAATAAACGTGTGTGCAACCAAAAACAGCCTTACGATTTAATCAGAAATTTAAATGACGATATGTCCGTGGCGAAAATCAGCCACGGTAGATATGTACCGACTACCAAGCTGATTTTCCGGTTGGGAATCGTCGCTAGATAATTAACCTGATACAGGAATCTGGGCATCATTTTGGACCTTAACATGAAACGGCAAAGACACGCGTGTTGTGTACATTAACACACTGTCCGGTCTAATTGTAAAGGGTAATAAGTGGCACCATGGATTTAGGTGACCGAAGGATCGTACATTTCGTAGTTAGGCTGAACTAATAGAACCGAGCTTTTTTGTCGATTTAAACTCAAGTGGTAGAGGATCAGCATTGCCTTCTCGACTATATGTTAATTCTCAGTCGATGTCTAGAGATTTGGGGGGGGGCATACAAACTAGAACTAGGGTGTGATTTTGCTTCAGTCATCGGCGCAAAGTCAAAGCTCACTGCCAGACCTACTACCAAACCAGACGTATAGGGGACTTCTTCCATGAAATTTCTATAGGACCCGGCTACCTCATGTGTATCGTACAAAAAATCGTTTTCTCGGAGTCACTGCGTCAGTTCGAATTTCCGAGTTCTCCTGTTCTTTTCGGAGAACGCATACCATGATGTGCACCACTAAGGAGAAAGATTAGGATTGTGAGATTTTATACTTGGTGTAGGCTCAGTGTGTGTACGCATCCAGCACAACATTTCCATTACTTAGTACCCATGTTCATTCAGCTTCAGGAAAACCGATCATGAAATAAGGTGTAAAACGATTTGAGTAATTTGATTTACTAAGGTTATAACTGTCTTCGTAAAGTCAGGAAAAAACAAGACATCCTATATCTTACTTTAACCAGGTACTTCACGATAATTACGGACCCATAAAGTGATATAAAGGTTAACTGAGATTCCATGTGAAATTCTCCAAAGGCAAACAGAAAAGAGGAAATTTTTAGGCGGAAATGATGTTGATGGAGCTGGTAACTAGTTGTCTTAGAGGTGCAGAAGGCGGATGTGTGGAGCAAAATTGGAAAGAATAAACCAGAGCGGACAACTTATAGTGTTACTCAGTCATTTTTCGCTTTCCACTCTTCTTGTTTGGAAGACAGCAGTAATCCGCTTACAGAGACACCTTACAGATATGTCGATATTGCTTGTTCCTAGATCTGATAAATCCATATATCCTCCAAGGTAACATCGTGTTAGAAGCAAAGTATACGAGGCTGAAGGAAGTAGGCTGATATGTGCAGCATCTAACCGAATACTAGGCACATCTCAAGGTGAAAATGGATATGGAGAGTCTGTCTAAAGATGGTATAAGCCTTTCTGTACACTTCATATCTTGGATCAGAGGAAACGACCAAAAACCACTGATTACGAGCGGGTGAACTGAGTGAGGCTGTGCATTAACGGACGAAGTTCATCCGGAAGCTAATGGATAGTAGTGAAAACAGAATCAGTCCGTATGATCCAAAACGGCTGGTGTGTTTTTGGCATTAGCTTTAAGAACCACAGCAGTTGGAACTCAGATGGTAGCGTTGTGAAGTTTGGATGGGCAGCTGTCGTTGGTGTGCGAGCGATATGATGGCGCTGAGCAGTACGTACTGTACTGTGCTCCGTTATTCGTAGTTGCAGGGTGATATCCCGGTAAAAGTTGCTTTTGTGCACATTCAATTCCTGTGTCAATTTCATTTGGTGGAGTACTGCAATCACAGTTCGGAGGTTTAACCACCAGAGTATCTCAGAAGCTTCCGGTTTTCGAAACAGTAAATATGTGATGGCGTTGTATCACTGTCCGGCAACAGCAAGAACAAGCCACCAGACGGGTAGTCCTGCCTTACATCAAGAATATATCAGAACTCGCGACCAGATTATTGGCTCAAAAAGGAATCTTCGTGGCCCACAAACCGAATGCCACCCTGAGGAAATTAATCTCTAGACCGAAGGACAACCCGGACAAAACCAAGAAGAACAATGTGATATACCAACTCAACTGCAACAACTGCAACAAATTCTACGTCGGGCAAACTGGGAGAAGACTATGCACACGAATAAAGGAACACAACACGACAGTCAGGCGGCATGACCCCCTGTCCTTGATATCCATACACGAGGACCAAGAAGGCCACAAATTCAACTTGGAAAACGCAGAAATTTTGGCATACGGACGCACGAGGCACGGAAGAGAATTTCTGGAAGCATGGTACTCGACGGCAAATTCGATCAACCGGTGCATCGAACTGGACCCAATTTACGCACCCCTACGTGCAAAAGACCAACATCTCAACCGGAAAACTCAAGGAGGACCGAATATCGGACTCACAAACAACGAAACAAGGAACTCCTTGGAGGCAAATCAATAAAGGTCACAACCCGGGACTGGAAAGGACAAAGGTCACTCTAGCATCGACCAGATTATGACTGCAGGGGATGCCAAGCTCAGAGGTCACGTGGGCATCGGCGAATGAGGACACAGGACAACGGAGCAACCAGTGGAATCACCCGACCGAACAACTAATCGCGATCAAAGGTCATCCTCTGCTAGCAGCACATATATTAACACACGCACAACACTACCCAACGCACAACCACTAACCCACCGCTACGCACTTCTACAATCCACAACAACGCACTGATAATGTCACCTCGATTGGTGATGAAACGTTTGCAACCAAGTTGCCCAGCTCAGCGAACAAGCCAGCGACCACGACGGAAATTCTTGTCTCAGTGAAAGTTATGCACACTGCTGATCAGCCACCCGAGGCCGAAAGGTTAAGTTTTCGGCCACTGACCGCAAGGTCGCGGGCAAGCAAACTTTCTGAGTTTCGTGAGATCCGCACTGGCGGTGATTTCCAGTAAAGATGAAACAGCTGTACAGTGCCCTCCAACTTTTCAGTATTGACTGGCTATTATTTTAAAAGATAATAAAGACGCCTGGACTGCTCAATGCGGGTCTAACGAGAGACCGACTGAGCCTCCCAATGACGGCATCCTCAAGTGAGGCTGCCAACAGGTAGCATCAAGGGCAAAATATGAGGTAGAGTGTCGGACAAATTTACTCAATTCCAGACCAATAGACCACTATGGGAAAATACACTAAGATTCTGAGTGTCAACTAAGTTCTGATATCTAGAACATTTCGCTTCACATGCAGAATCCATGTCGACCGTCTGAAAAGGGTGAAATTGCGCACTTCACTAGCTTTCATAGGACACTTGCTGTTTCAGAGTACCCAACAGCCCAGGAGGGGCAAATGGTCTCGATCCGCATTCACACAATCTATGCACCGGATGACGCTCTGTGTTGCGTGAGTAGCATAATTTTACAGATGTCCTTCGACCACCGATGTCCTCGGTGTCCAGTGACTACATTCGGATTGAAAGGTTCCAGCTGCATGATCATCTCTTTTTAAATCAAACGACAATGAATGATCGAAAGTGCTTCAATCCCAAGCGATGCTTACGACGGCGGAAGCTAATTGGTTTGTTTCAAGGATAAAGATTATGACATAAAATTTACCACTGTTCTAAAGTCTCCGAAGGTTATTCGTAGCATCTGCGGTTCGGCTTCGATTTTGTGCAGTTTATGTTTTGCTTTATTTGAACTTGGCCCAAAAAACCAGGAGCTGCACATGCTCCAAGCCTTCAATCGATTTGTCCGTCTCTTGTTACAACAGACCCCCTTTGGGAAATGGAAAAGACACTTGATCGCCCGTGATTCTTAAAGTAAGACCTACGATTAGTCCAAATGCTGGTAAAAACTCGCTACCACTGTTACTGCTCAAGAAGCAATAGCCGTTCCCTTCGTTCATCTCATATTCAATGAAACAAGAAGATTACAATCAGAGACGGCGACGGAAACACCGATGACGCACAAATGTGTTCTGTTGCGGTGGTTTCAAAATAGAGCTGTTTCGACTGATTCGTCTGCAATGGGCAAGTTTTCTCATGAACATAGAGACAGGTTTTCCCTGAAAGACCACTACACATAAGAGTGCTTAAAAATCTCTCACGATCCATAACAGTTTGGCTCTTCCTCGGGAAATCAGGGAGGCGTCTCAGAAATTCCGTGAACCTTACATTCTACTGAAACCTAAACTGGGCACGATTTGCAAACTGCACTTATTTGTATACCGATTTGGTTTAAACGGGAAACTCGGATGAATCCCAGATGAATCTTGTTAATATTCATCAACTGAATATTTACTCGGTTTTTGTTCACAAACAGGCTTCCAGTTGCAAATGAAACTTTGGAGCAACAAAACTAGTACTCGCTCGTTTTTATCTGGCGATTACTTGCAAGGGAGGGACACATTAATTCACTTCACTCCTCAAGAAACAATTTGACGGGACTTTTGTCCTCCTCTTGAACGGACCACATATTTAGCCCGCGCCATGGTAGTATCGGGATTTGCTGATGTCTTATCCACCTAGCTGCTCGTAAATCCCCGATAACCTCAGAGTTTTGTCTCTTGACAAGACAAGACAAGACAAAATACTCGCAATATCGTAGACCCGTATGTTGCTGACCATTATCCTTGGCAGTGCATTTAAATCATCGCACATCAAGAAGCCTGTAATTTAGGAGAAAATGTTTACTGTAGGGACATGTTTGCTTCCTACAATCTTTCTAAGTCCAATTTCCTCAGACCACCTCAAATCTGCAATCATGGGTCGCCAACATGATTAGAGGTGTACAACCTTAGTTCCAAATAATCTCATGCAGGCCTTGTGGGCGTTGAAGATCATGTAGAAGAAGCCTGTAAAAACGCGGACATTTGTCACATTATTCTGCCTCTCACTGAAGTGTTCAGCTTAAAATAAATCGGATAACTTAATTTGGCCTAGACACATTTCTTTGAAGAGAAGCTGTCAGACCTTTTGACACCAGAACAATCTCCAATGTCTGAAGGCCAGGGCGAGGAAACTGCTGAAGTTTCGAATTCACTGCTGGTAGGCAGTATTGACAGTAGGCAGTATTGATAGGCAGTATTGAGGTGGTCGTTGAAAGCTACCCGGATGCCAAATTTTAAGTTTGTGATCACTGATTAGTGTTCGAAACCTGTCAATGAGTCGGAAGATGATGAAGATGAACGCAAGTTGAAACTGGCTCTGGATGAAAAGGGTTGAAGATGGCCAAGACAAGGGTTTATGAAAGTGGCTAGAGATTGAAGTATCAACTAACGAAGTCTCTGTTGCGCAGTATTTCATCGGAACACTGATGTCTGCTTCGTACAATCGTCCACAAATCGTCCTGGTTGGAAAACGATATCTATGGGATTCTACCTGTAATCGGGCTTATTCGGAGCGAAAGACGTCGCTTCTCCAAGGTGAAGAGCATTTTGAGTGTCATCCGCTGGAATTTGTCTCCAAAAAACAAACTTTTATCTACATCCACAAAGTGTGATACACTTTATAACTTCTGGCAATTACTTCCACTCTAAAATTGAATGCAAAACCAGACGCACGTAAAACAGGATAGGTTGTGTCCCGAATAACGTTACCTCATCCCGAAAGGGAGCCTTAATATTTTGGAAATGTGATGAATCTTGCAGTATTCTGCCCGAAATACAATTGGAGTCAACGAAACCCCTCAACAGAATGCTGCTTTACTAACAAACACAAATTCATCAATAAGTTGGTGGCGTCTACTGGACTGCTTCAGTGAGATTTTACACAATCTTTATCTAAGTCCTCATTTCCTAGTGTCTGTAAATTGCTGTTTTCCTCATTAAATTCCGTCGTTGTAGGATGAACAATAAAGCACTTGGATTTCATGGATGACTTCCATGCAGCAGCAGCCAACCGTATCAGATATACTATAGAACTACAGTAAGTATGTCCCTATTAGATGGGCGGGAATCCACTCAGAAATAAATGTTAACTTAATTCTGCAGTAATTTCACATGCTTGTTGTTGCATAGGCCGGTTCAGTTCTCTGGGATGAAATTTGCTTCTTCCCCTACGAAACTTTGTTAGATAATCCTTCTTTCCCAAACTGTTGCCGCACACAAAAAGACAGACGTCGTCTTTGAACCACCAGACGAATGTTTCACACGATGGGTTTCGTCTAGACTGCCTCAAACCAAACTATATCTAAGGGGGCGGATCTGACGTGAGATAACTTTTAACTTGGTCCAGCCTACACAACAACTCTCCTGTGAGCAGAAGGCCGTAGATCCAAATACACATGCTAGTACTTTCGTTTTTTGTTTTCGTTTGAACAGTGTGTAATTTGTCTTCTCACTCAAGGCAGTTTGGGGCTGATAATGATGATGACATCCAAAGAAAATCTGTTAAAGATTACCAAATGGTACCGATTCGAGCAGAGGTTATCTAAACATATCGATGGAACCCATTCTGATCTCTCTGAATGCGGCAAGTTGCTGTGGTTGGTGTGTGCTTCCTCAACTGTTCTATAGCAGTTTAGTGACCTTTCGAATACCTTCCATCATAATGGAAATACCGGCCCGAGAAAAGTCGTCAGACCTTAGCTGAATGAATCTAATTTGTATAGGGGAATACACCGTTGGAGGGAGCTCTGCAATGTATCTGTTCTCCGCATAACGAATGCAAAGCTCACATGACAAGGATATACTTCTCAAGATAATTTTGACACAGGTTGTGTTCAATCGTTCGGGTAAACGGCACACCACTTTACCTACCAAGCTATCTGAGAACCCGCGCACAGTCTTAAACCCTGAAGCTAACTTAGTAGGCCTACGGTCTTGAGCTGTATGGACTAAATGTGAACAAGCCCAAAAGCTCCTGACTTATCCTCAGCTGCACGATACAACGATCATCTCATCAGTTTGGATGGGATAGAACTACACAAGTGGTTTGGTTGACTTCATTGTTGGTGAAGGTCCTCCATATTTCAGTCAAACAAATCTCGTACGAAAGTGTACTGAAATAGGAACTAAGAAAAGTTGAAGTAGATAAAGCAGTTTACCCTTTGGCAGTTAACTCAAAATATTCTCAAGAACTGACTTACTGTTATGATTTTACGAAGCTTGTTGACTGGCTTCTTGCGCATCGAATTAGTCCGCTTCGTCTGCTCGTCATAACTTCGGCGATTTCGGATCATCAGCTGAAGAAAAATCCAACGAGATACATTGATTTTGGATTACTTCTGAAGAAGAGTTCTGTATGCAAATAAACTCTTGACAAGAAGTCGTAAGTGTATGCCTGACTGTTAAGGCTGTGTCTTGCAGCATTGTAGCACCACCATAGTGACGGTTATGTTCCAGATTACAATACCAATACATAGAAAACTGCTTGTGATGGAATTCCTAGTTGACTCTGTTCCTCATAATTGTACGCGGAGATTGGCCAACAATCCACAGAACTATTGTGTTCCCGCTTTCCTCTGTTTTTCTGCGGTAGTCTTGCGCTTTGAGTAGTTGTTTAATTCGGAAACTATTGCACATATGTAGGTATGAAGTGGAACCCAGGACTCGTCAAAATGTAAAGGCTTAAGAACTGTATAGGTCATAAAAAATTGACAAAATATATTTGTCTCAAACTGGTAACATACCACCTCCAAGTCTTCGATTGCTGTCTCAGTTACTGCTATCTCTTCTTCGATTCGTCCTCGTCGTTTTGCGTAGCATGCTTGGATTTGTGCCTTAAGTTCTTCAAGTTCCATAGCCGTAGAGTATTCCACTGTGAAATAATTTGACGAAACTAGCATGAGGAACTACCCTTCCTTTGATTATAACTGACAAGCAAATGTACATGAAATAGACATACTTCTAAGTAAGCCAAGCTAATTTTTTTCCTAAACTGAGCCTATCTCCATATTTAGAGAGGTTGATTTCATTTGAACACAGGACTTCCCTTACAGAACTTCCCCTAAAGTAATGTCCATCGTAGACGAACAAATTGTGGCTGCTCCTCCATGGAGTAGTGACCAATAAAAAATATTTAGGGCGTTTTCCATACCGGATTCATTAATTTCCATTTTACTCCAGATATTTCGAACGAATTCCCATGAGGCTTAAATAGCTCTCATTTTGTCTGATCGGCAAGTCTCTGACCAGCATCAAACAGCTCAACCGGAGAGGATAATTTGTGAACAAACGCATTCTCAGATAGTGGTTAAGACCAGTAATTACGCTGACAACTATGGACTTGTTGGTTATCGTTTCATCGTGTCATCTAACTCCATTCACTTTACTCTGCACTGCAAGCTCGAACTGTCCGGCTAATGACGATGTCTGTGCATCCACGGCTAAATCATTATCCAGGTCTAGAAGAGATCACCGTTGCAATGGAGTAACACTTTGGACGTGGTCATGACGTAATCCGCTTATAGGTACTTTCCAAAAATAAGTCCCGGTTAATAAAAAAAACGCTACATTCGGGATGCTTAATATTAAGGCTTTTGACGGCCGCCTGTGGAAGTGGAATTATTCCCTTGTCTCACTTTTGAGAATCTCGTTTCATTATGAAGGGGTGGCGATGGAAGAATACTTCTACTTCTTGGAAACTGTTCCTTCAGTAAAAATGTTTCCGGTTATAGGTCTTCTTGAGAAAGAACCACTCAATCTATTGCGTATGAGACGTAAGTGAAGCTAACTTAGTAGTGTGGGCTGATAGTTACCGTGATATAGGATATTCATTGCTCCCAAAGATTATGTAACACCTCGTTTTTGGGAGTAGGTCGAAGAGACTGTTGTTTTTCACTGTTATGAAGATCCTCAGCTTGGTTCTGAATTTTTTCAGGTGAATATTTGTTCATAGATTATTAATAATAATCAGTCATCCATGATTTCGTTTCCGCTAATAAAGAAAGGGCAGTACTTTACCGAAATTAAACACTGTTTTGTTGGGCAAAAATTGGATTCCATCTTGTAAAGCTAGTTAGTAAGCCTGAACACTGAGAACAGTAGAACCGGAAGTTTAGCAGTTTACTTGGTTTCGACGACCTGGATTCAAATAGGGGCACGGGTGCCTTTAAATTTGCAGCCGCGCTTTGTTTCAAAAACTGTGTGCACATGTTCCATTAATGAAGGATTTAGAGAAGATGTTTATTTCCATAAAGGAAACTACTCACAAGGTT